GTCTGTGCATTCTAGGCTAAAGAGACGCCTCTGAAATGGTTTCGTTAACTACTCTGTCCCTCTTTATGCTTCATTAGTCAAAAGGCCCTGATGAGCATGGGGGTATGTTGGATCTATAGCACAGAAACTGAGGCTAGTGGGATGATCAAATCCAGCCCCTGCCCAGGGAACGGAACTGAAAGATGGCAGATGTTACACTCATTCTGAAACACACATCAAGACAAAAGACAGATCCAACGTTTGTTTTTCACCCATTTCCTATCTAATATACACACGGCGCTGAGGCATAGTCACTAAAAAGAAACAGACAAAAGAAAACATTAGATTGAATATTGGAAGGAGCCTGAGCAATCCTCAGAGCTCACTAGTGAAGAAGTCAGTGGACAAATAATTAGGTGTGGACACGTGCTAGGTTTCCCATATGGTGGCTGCCCAGTTGAGGTCACATCTCTACCCTCTGGCTCCCTCCCCTCATCTGCTGGTAGGTTATGGAAAACAAGTTCATTTCTATACCTCTAGAAGAGGAAGCATGATGTAGCAAGCATTGGATTTTTGAGTCTGGAAGAGTTGGGTTCAAATCCTACTGCTGAAAAAGTGAAGGAAGGCAGCCTAGCTGTACCAGGTCTCAAGCTCTATTATAAATCAGTAATCATCCAAACAATCTGGTTCTGGTGAGTGGTCAATAAATGGAATACATTAGGTACCAAATATACAGCAGGAAATGACCACAGGAACTTAGTGTTTGGTCAATACAAAGTTCCAAACAGTTGGGGCAAGAACTCACTATTTGACAAAAAACGGCTGGAAAACTGGAAAGCATTTTGGCAGAAATAAGAAATGCACCAACACCTCACCCTATATACCAAGATGAAGTCAAAATGGGTTCTTGATTTAGACATAATGGGTGAGTATCATAAGCAAATTAGGGGAACCTGGAAAAAAATTACCTATGGATAAGGGAAGAGTTTATGACTAAACAAGAGATAGAGACAATCAGGAGAGGTAAAATGGCTGATTTTGATTATATTAAATTAAACAAGTTTTGCATAAACAAAACTAGAAGCAGAAAACCAGGAAAAATATTCTACAGCAAGTTTTCCTGATAAAGGTTTTATTTCTCCAACATAGAGGGAACTGAGCTAAATTTATAAAGATAAGAACCCATTTCCCAATTGATAAATGGTCAAAAGATATGAACAGGCATTTTTCAGAAGAAAAAACCAAAGTTGTCTATAGTCATATGAAAAAAAAAATGCTATAAATCACTATTGATTAGAAACATGGAAATTAAAACAACTCTGGAGGTACCATCTCAGACCTACTAGATTGGCTAATAGAATAAAAAGGAAAATGACAAACGCTAGAGGGGATGTAGAAAAATAGCGACATTAATGCATTGTTGGTAGAGTGGTGAACTGGTCTAACCATTCTGGAGAACAAATGTGGAACCACGCCCAAAGAGCTGTAAAACTGCGCATCAATATCCATCAGTACCCATCAATTTCACCATGAGGTCTGTACCCCAAAGAGATCACAGAAAAAGGACCCATATGTACAAAAATATTTATAGCAGCTCTTTTTGTGGTGGCAAAGAACTGGAAACTGAGGGGAAATGGGGAACAGTTGAACAAGTTGTAGTATATGATTGTGATGGAATACTCTTGTACTACAAGAAATGACAAGCCACATTATTTCAGAAAAACCTAAGAAGACTTTACATGAACTAATGGAAAGTGAAGTGACCAGAACACAGTAACAACATTGTAGTAATAATCAACTGTGAAAGACTTTACTCTGATCGATACAATGATCTACGACAATTCTGAAGGGCTCATGATGAAAAAAATGTCACCCAGAGAGAGAACTGATGAACTGAGTACAGACTGAAGCACAGGTTTTTCACTTTTTTTTTTGGCAACATGGCTAATGTGGAAATGTTTTGCATGACTTCACATGCATAACTGATAACATATTGCTTATCTTTTCAATGGGTGGGATAGGGACTGGAGGGAGGGAGAGAATTTGGAACTGAAAATGAAAATTTAAAAAAGAAACAAATCCCACCACTGATATTTGCTATCTATGTGACCCTGGGCAAATCACTTAATCTCTGTGAGTCAGTTTCCTCTTCTGTAAAATGGGAATAATAATACCTATAATATCTACTTCACAGGGTTGTGAGGCTCAAATGAGATAATGTAGGTTTTAAAAAGGTGCAAACCTTCAAGAATTGTACAAATTATTATTATTAGTAGTAGTGGTGGTGGTGGTGGTGGTGGTGGTGGTGGTAGTAGTAGTAGTAGTAGCAGCAGCAGCAGCAGTAGTAGTACGTTTGTCACATTACTGAAGAGAGACAATCAGCCCAACATTTTGAAACAAATAAATTAAGTTGCTGGGTTTACAAAAGGAGGCTGTACAAGAGGAGACTGTAGAGGAAAACCACCTAGGAGGGACTCCGGGGTAACAGTCCACAGTAGCTTTAGAACATAAATTATAAATAAAGGAACTGATGGTAAAATGATAGTGACATCCAGTCTGGGCTATTTGTTGCCCTTTAAGAAGAGAATGACTGCTAGCCTTTAACAAAACACTTCTCTTTTTCTATCCCAGTTGGGATCCAGAAGATCCTTTTATCCGTTCATAACTGGCAGACAGGTCTGCTTCTGACTTGACCCTTCTTTTAGCAGCTGACTCAATCCTTACCTGCACGACAGTTAATAAGGGTGGATGTGAACCCCCACCCCCCACACCCCCTGCAGTGCTGGGAACAGCACAATGTGACTTAACTAGGCTTTTGGGGAGTTAAAAATACAAGTTGCTTTGGCAAGGGTTTTGCAAAACACCTGCCTCCCAGGCTGTCCTCCCACTCAGTGACCTTGGGAAGGAGAGAACAGTCAAGTGGGAGGAAATTAGCATCTCTCTGAGGTAGCTTCCCCAAGCATCAATCCTACCTTTCTCTCCTTGCTTCCAAACAAGCCAGTTTAAGAACCTAAGGGAGATGCTGGCCTGGGTGGGGCGTCAGATCAAATGAGCTGCGGGAGGCTCACTGCTGGAGGGTGGAGCCCGAGCTGTGAACCTGCCACTTGCATTTTAGCTTAACAGGGATAAAGTGGTCTTTTGACAAGATTATCTATCAGGGTGACTGACACAGCTGGAAGGAAACACTCTGTTGGGGAGTCTGGGTGATGTGGGCTGGAGCAGCAGCTCTTAGACTTTACTGCCTGTGTGATCTTGACCAATTGCTCTGGCCTCAGGTTCACTGGTAAAGATGGACAGATGTGGTGGAAATAAGTACTTTGAGTCAGGGGCCCCAAGTCTAAACTCTGGCTGTCAGCTGTGAGATCTGGAACAAGTCGCTTTGCTTCTGTGCCTCAGTTTCTTCATCTGTACAATGGGTGGTGCCTTCTGTAAGCATGTGAACTGAAGGGTGCTTAGGGAGAGGGCACAGGGGTCTGGACCGCCACCTCCTACAGAATGGATGGATCAGCAGCCTTCCTGGAACAGGGTAAGGGTACCAACGATGTGCAGGACTGATTCTGCCATGGTGGGTCTTTGCTTCTCAAGCAAAAGTGTTCCCTGATGGCACCAAATGACAGCAGGGCCATTGAGACTAACTATATGGACAGTTGCTCTTGGAAGTACAGTAAATAAGAGAAAGTAAGAAGGCCAAACAGCCACCGTCCCCAGTGTCACGAGAGGGAGTGGGCCAGCTCAAGCTCAACAGGGCCTTGTCCAGAGAGCACCAGGATTCCTAGAGCAGAAGCAGGGTCACCATCTGGCCTCTAGCACAGCACGGTCCACAAGGCAGCCCACTGTGGGGCCAGCTCTTTTAGGCCAAGGCCCTTCGCCTGCCCCGTTCTGGCCACAGTGAAGCTCCAGACGTATGCCCAGGCCCTGATGGCTATGACAAGATAAGTAACCCCATTGGCCATGGGGTCAGCTGAGAGGATGCCCAGCCAGACCAGCTGAAAGCTTCTGGTCCCAACAACTGAGGCATGGTTTTTAATCAGTTAACACAAGAAATGGCTTCCTTGAGCCGTAGTTTCCAAAATATGGGCCAAAGGGACAGCCTTGGAAACGTCTTAGGCTTTCCCTTCCAGAAAGGGCAAGAATTTCCATCCCAAGTAAGCAGATTCTCCTGTTGGTCTTCTGAAAGTAGTTTAGGTTCATAGGATTTATTTGTGAAAGGGACCACAGAGGTAACAGAATCATAGATTTAGAGGTACAAAGAACTTAGAGGTCATTCCAAACACTTCATTTTACAGAAAAGGAGACCAAGGCTCAGAGGAGTCAAGTGATTTGCCCAAGGTCACAAAGGTAGAAAATGGTAGGTACAGGATCCAAACGCAGGTGTTTTCAACCCAAGGTCAGGGGCCTTGCCACTCTATTTCCACTATTAAAAAACAAACAAACAAAAAACCCCCTCTATAACCTGTGTCCCATTAGCCCTGATAAATCTCTCCTTGGAGGGTACCTATGTTTATAGCCTTCTATAACTAAATACTGCGTGTGGCATAATCCTTCCATTATGACTGAAGGATAACCATGAAAAATTAAGTTTTAATGAGCAAAACTGCTTGAGGTTTTTAGTAGCCAGAATTTGAAAGAGCTGAGCTCATCAGGATGAAGATTTATAGACAAAGGCTAAACACGAGAAGCCAGGGGTAATGCCTGCCAATCCCTAGGTTTCAGAAGTTTTCCAAAGGTGAATCAAAGGTATGAGGGGAGGAAGGCCTGAAATGAAGGGAGGAAAGGGAAGGGAAACCAGGATTTCCAAAGCAGCTGGGCAAATGCTGAATTATGGAGGAGCAGATCCAAGGATCCGAGCAAAGAACAGAGCGGCTTCCTCCCTGCTGGTAAAGTTGATGACTGAAAACCCTGGCAGAGGTCGGGTGTTTGAAGCACACACTTTTGGCCTGACAAGGCTATTCATCTAGGACTCCATCCCAAAGCCAGTGGTGCCTAATTGCAAGAGATTTTTAACAAATGGAAGCGTGTCATAGAGATTAAAACTGGTAGAAAATTTTATTATTTCAACCCGTATTTAGTTATTAATTGTACTGTTGCTGGTAGAAGGGTAACATACCTAGGTTTTGTTTTTAATTTTTAGTAAAACTCCTATCTAACCCCTGCTTTAATACACATTCTGCCTAATTTCATTCGAGCCAGTGACTGCCTTACTCATCTGCATAGCTAGAAGTATGATGAAATGCAGAATGCCACAGGGGCTGCTTTTTGAAAACAGACATTCTCTTTTGCCCAGTGGTCCATTTGTAGTTCTCATTATGACAATGCACGGGAGAAGAACTGTGGCAGAAGTCAATGTTATTAAAGGAAGGTCAGCCGGGGGTCAAAACAACCCAGTTAATACTTCTCCAGCACCCCTATATTTCAGGTGGCTGATGATACATTAGGAATCTTTGGGTGGAAAGTAAACTCAGAGTGATCTTCAAGCAAAGTGCTGTTTCAGAAAGAAAACAAAGCAGCTGCCTGGAGGGGAAGTGGGCCCCAGAGCTCAGCTGTAGCCTGTCTGCCTTCCTCTCTCTATTTCTCCCTCCCCCCATTTTCTCCCTCTGTCTGTCTCTCCTTCTCCCCTTCTCTCTTCATCTGAAAAACCAAAAGGTCTTTGTGGGACAGAACTGACTGTTTTCAGGATGAAAACCATCCTGAATGTATAAGACCTCTTACTAGACAGGAAACCCAGGATCTTCCTGCTACCCCATTTTGCGGCTGCTTATTTTATGAAGAAAAATTAATCTAAAGCATGAAACAGTTCAGTTGCAGATTTAGTGTTTTTAAAAGCTCCATACACTGATCTGTTCTTTACTATGAATAAGCTGAGCCAGTCCTCGGGAGTCGATCCCTCCAGAGCTGCTGGCTGATGCTGGAGGACACAAGACAGAGGGCTAACGTAATGGATGCTCTGGAACACATCCAAAGCTCAGTGTATAAATTATTCTTTTCTAGGGCCCAGCGTTCCCTCTCCTAGGGCCTGCAGATGCCTCTGGCTTGGGCTCTTTTATTCGGAGCTCGAATGCCCCTGCTGGGGCCTACCCTGGCCCAAACGAGGCCAGGGTTGAAAAGGGCTTCTCTTGCCCCCATACCACCCCTCTTGTCATCTGACAACCATTCACTGCCAAGGTGCCAGTGGGGTCAGCTTGGCAGAGCCCGAGGTTTCTGCAGGTTCTAACACAGCAGTGAGGAAGGGCGGCTCTAAGGTCTTCCTGCCCCCTCTGCTCCAAAGGGAGAGATCATTCCCTAAATGTTGTCGTAGGGGACGGCCAGGCCAATGTTATAGTTGTAACCAGCCACTTCATCGTAGGACGAGCGGCAAATTGGAAGAATGCTTTCAGGAGCCAACTGGTCCATGGAAAACTCATAGGCATAGATGATTCCTCGGTGCCTGGAGAAAGCATAAAAAAAGACATGAGGGAAAGAATGCCAAGAAAGATACAAATGATCAATAGCATAGGATTAAAAAAACCCATTATTAATAACAAAGGTAAATAATTAGAAATGGGATTCTGTCCACGGTTATTCATCTGACACCCACATCTCTGAGCATTAATGGTGGATGGAAATGCAAGGCATCCTTCCCCCCCCAGCCAATGCTGCTTCGGTATATCCCCTTTAGGAACCTGTAACATGATGAGTATTTGTGTCTGTATCATTATGAACTGGTGAGGGAATGCAGAGAACAGAGTGTTTGCCCTCTGTTTGCAATCTGAGGATCTCACTGTCAAATAGATGGTTCCACTCTGATACCTGGATTTACAGGCAGACTCCACTCCCTCAGTGACTCCCCTGTGGTCAATTCCACATGGATGTTCTCTAACAAGTAAAAATTCTCTGGGTACAAACCTAAGCCTCGGCACGAAGCAGCTAGTAAGTGGCGGAGTCAGGACGTGAACTCTGATGGCTTGAGTCTAAAACCAGTGATCCTTCCACTAGGGCTCCCAAACTTTTTTACCCCTGAACAATTCATGCTCACCAGTAAGCCCTACCCTGGTCAGGCTGGCCAACTGACCTTCGATGAGCGGTCAAGTCATCATCCAGAATGCTAGCCCCTCGGGGGCTCTTCTCATCAGGGATGTTGGCTGTAATAAGGCTGTGTGTATCAAACCAGATGTGACGCACAGGGTGTCTGGAATAGCGAGGGTGGGAAGACAACTCTTAAACAGACACATTCCCCTCAGATTAAGAGAATCTCACACCTTATCATTTACCCAGCACTATCACAGCATCACACAGCTTAGAGCTGGAAGGATCCAGAGAACTTGCCTCATTTTAGGCAATTTTACAAATAAGAGAAAACTGAAGCTCATGAAGATTAAGCGACTGATCCAAATTCATGCAACTTGGGAGGGGGGGCACAGCTAGGCCTAGAAGCTAGGTTCTCTGACTGTAAGCATCTTGAGGGGAGAGAGACTGGTCTTATAAATCTATGCCTCAGTTTTCTCATCAATGGATTGGGAATATGGATTCTCAGAATGTCTTGCAAAGGGCAGATATTTAAATATTTTAAAAATTAAATTGAATATTGTTGGTGTGGAGTGATAAGGGTCTGCACTGGTATGGCAGCACTGAGAACAGAAACAAAGAGATGGATATGAGAGGTATTAAAGAAGAAGAATTGACAAGATGCAGCATTTAATTTGAGATGGGATGTGAGAAGGAGAAATAAGGATGACTCGGGTTTGGAGCTTAGATGACAGGGAGAATAAAGAGGAAGGTCAGGAGGGCTAGCTAGTGCAGAGAAAGGACAATGAGCTTAGTAAACATGGTGAGTCTGACTTGTCTATAAGGATAGTGGAAATGTGTATGGCAGCTTACAAGAGAGGGCATGGCTATACAGACAGAATCTGGAGTAAAGGAGGTAAACGTGAAAGCTGTGAACATGGATGGTTCTCCATGGAAGAGATCACAAAAGGAGAAGAGGCTGAGGTCTAAACCTGATTCTGATGGAAATGGCTCCTTTGTCACAGAATACTCAAAGAGCTATGGGATAAACCGGGCAGCCTTTTGTGAAACAGTCAAGGAAGCCAAGGCTGAGACAGCCTCACAAAACAGATACAAACCTCCAGCTTAAACCTGCCTTCATCTGAATCACTCCCTCCTAGCAGACTCCACTCTCATGAAGTTAAGGAAATAAGTTCTAACTAGTATCTGCCAGAGGCCTCAACCGTGAAATCTCAAATCTAGTGAAATAGAATTCAGGTCATTTGTAATCGTGGCAAAGGAACCCACGGAGCCCATTGTGGGATGGCGCCAGTGACCCGGGTTTAGGAGCTCTCTCAATGGCACTAGTTTATTGGTCAAAGGCTGGGGTAACTGTCAAAGGCTACTGCAAATGTGGTAGATCACTCTGGAAAGTAAACAGTGGCATTAAGGAACTATGGCCACTAGATTCCATCACACCTTCCAGGATTCTACGCAACCTTAAGATGTGTCACTTCCCTTTCTCAGGTCTCAGTTTCCTCATCTATAAAATAAACTAGTGGATCTATAAAGCTCCTCCTTGATGTAACTCTATGGTCCTGGTTTGCCAATGCTGAAAATTTAGGTGGCTTCTAGCACCATCTGGTGGAAAATCAGTGCATCACATGAGAAACACTCCAAAAAGGAAACCCCTAAGGTGAGCTTCTTTTGAAAGGTAGGGAGAATGCCAGAGTTAGAAAACACTGGGGTGTAGCCCTGGCCCACCATGCCCAGGGCTCCAGCAACCTCCTCCTGTCATTAAAATCTTCATTCGTCTCATGGCTGCATCTATGGGAGGTGCAAACCACTATACACGTGGATGTCATGGCCATCTTTGGCCTTCAATTATGTCAGAGGTGCGATAAAAGAAAATGCTGGCTTGTCTTTCAGTCCTCTGAAGCTGCCTCATGCAGCACGTTAACACCTAAGCCAAAGGGGAATTCCATTTTACTCCTTCTAGTGATTGTAGTTTGCTTCTGATCACAATAAAAGTAATGTGCTTTTCAATGTCAAACTATGAACAATTTCACCAACTTGTTCCAAAAGAACATTAAGCACTTTAGAAATGCCCCACCCGGTCAGACCCAACAGAACCCTCTGTGGGCAGGCATGGGCACTTTTTTAAATAGCAGGAATTTTATTGTTGCTATTATTATTCCCTTAATTTACTATACCTCCATCACTGTGACTTTGCTTAAATTCTTGAAATTATTTCTATTTCCTCTGTAGACGACTACTCAGTGGCATGCTTAAAATCCCAACTTTCTCCTAGGTTGCGGGCAAAGGAAATGATTCTTAGGTGTGACTGCACATTTTCAGTGCAAATTCTCCTCTTTTCTTCATTGGTTTCTGAGCAAAACTCTCCAGACTGAACAGAAGATCACACATACCCATGCAATTATAAACTCTATCTGAAGTCCTATACCAATTTAGCAGGACTTCTACTGGCATCGACAAGCAATGTGTTGTAATGGGTAGAGTTGGCCTCCAAGCCAGGAAGATCTATATTCAAGTCCTGTTTCTGGCACCCACTGGCTGAGTGACCCTCTCAGTTCTCCAGACACCTCTCTAAGACCTGAAGTAGCAGAGAAGGGAGAGGGAGTGGCCTATACCAAAGTACTCATGTATCCCGGTCCTTGGTCACTGATGTCATGGACAGAGATCACAGCTGGAGATGGCCAACCATGCTCTCCTACCCACTGCACGGTGACATGTGAAGGCTGCTCAGCAATCCCGAACATCCTCACTAAGAAACCTTGTTCTCAGGACAAGCCAAGTACATCCGAGATAAAGGCCCCTGGTTTTTTACCTCATTTAAGATAGATCCTACCTTGGAACTGGGGGTATCTGAGGAAAGGGCATGAACACTTCACAAGTGCATACAGAGGAGCCATAGAGAAATATTCTTAGCTCATTCACCTGTAATGACCTGGGCTTGGACTCTATGGCAATAAAATCACCTGAAGAAATGGAATTACCTGGCGTGCATTTCCCAAAGCTTGTTACCCATCCGCTGGTCCCAGACACAAACCAGGCCTTCCTCGCCCCCACTGACAATTTTCCAGTCGTCCATCTGAACAGCAGAGACTCCTAACTGGTGAGCATAGAGTGAACACATGGACATACTGTTGCGCAGATCATACACCCTCACCCTGAGTAAAGACATGATAAACACAGGAATGGAAGTGTACTGTCAATTTTGCTGCTTTAGGTTTTGAAAAATATAGAATTACATCACTTAGAGACACGTAGAGAAAGGAGATAAAAGAATATTGCATAAACATGAGAGCACACTGGCATACGATGTTGGAATGAGGCTGTGTTAATGTATCCTCCCCTGACTCCATCCACAAATGTTTAATTACTGAAATTACTCAAAACCCAACCTCAACAGCATAGTCTAAGGTGTAAAAAGTACAAGGGTAAGCTTCCTTCCTTCCCATCGTCTGGGACCCAGGGCCAGTCCCTTTCCTGGGACCCAGTTTCTTCACCTGCTAATTAGGGATTAGCAGCACCTGTCCCCAGTGTGCGCAAGATTTAGACTGTGAAGGAAAACTTCTCACTCTGTGACACGTGAATAACTAACATGTGTTCAAAAAGCCAGTTTACACGCTAATTACCCAAGAATTGCATGAGGACAATATTACAATACTGACAATATTTCGTCAGGCGCTGGAGCGCTAGTCAAATGGATGGACTCTTATTATTTAGAATATCATGAATAGAAAATGAAGCACTTTTCATAATTCCACACAAAAGTACACAGATGAAAACAAAAAGGAGTCCTGAGAGGACCACAGCAAACAGCCACTTTGTTAGGTCCGCGTTTAATGCAGTCTACTGCCTCCTCTTTAAAAACGGCATGTGTTAGTTTACGGTTTCCTGTACCATGTCCTCTCAGGGCTTGCTGACGACTACCTCCACAAGAAGAAGACATGATTTCCCTCTTATAAAGGAGGAAACTGAGGCTCAAACGTGAAAAGTGACTCTCCAGACTCTCTGGTCACTGCTCCATCCACCTGACCACTGGGCCTCTCACACGACCTACGAGGACAAATCACGTGGGGTGGACTTTGCCTCCTTCTCAGAGAAGCTCCGGAGTGGGTATAAGCCACGACAATTCACCTGTAGGTGCACTTTTAAGAAAACAGCTACGGTGCGAAGGAGAGAGTGGTGCATTTGGAGTCTGAAGGGCTGGGTTCAAGTTTGACTCTGCGCTTATCAGCAGTGTGACTGTGTTTATAGAAACCTACTCTCCTCTGTGCCTTGGCTTCTTAATCTGTACAAGGGGGATAATAACACCTGTGATACCTTCTCTGAAGCACAGCCCCTCAGGCTGGATAGATTTGTTGTAAGGAGCACAATAATGCACACACAGCTGCCTGCAAACCCCAAAGCAGCGATTCATGCCATTCATCGTCTTCCCTGCCTTGTCATCTACCAAAGGATAAGCTTTCCCGAGAGGGGCGTGGGGGAGGCGAGCTGCACGACGAGGGTGATGGGTCTACCAAAGGTCAGCTCTTGAGCAGAATTAGAGAGTTCTAGGACTGGGGCGGTTTGGGGAAGAGCCAAATTTCCCATGTGCTGTCCACAGAGATGGTTGGAAGGACTGGAGAGTTGTTCTCAAATCTTAGAATGGAAAAGAAAGAAGTGTGCAGCATGGAGTCCTTCCTCTAGAATGTGTTAGGGGTGAGCAAAGGTCTAGCAGCCTTGGCGGCTCCCGTAAAGGGCTACTCTGCGGGACAGCGAGGTTCCCTCATTTAGATTTGGCTATTAGGAAAACAAAGGCAAACTCAAATCTGTCCACAAGTTCAGAGTCTGCCATCTGTTTTTCATTTGGATAGCAGTATGGATAACTCCAAAGAAAATAAACAAATAAACCAGAAGATACCATTGTTGGGCTGTAAATGAATAAGAGGCCCCCCCAAGTTCCCAGGGAAATAAGTTGTTTGGAAAGGAAAATATTTCTGGAGGGCACCTACGAGGCAAAGTTGTAGCTTCCTTCCTATGGGCAGTACTGAGGGCATGGACTGGCTCGTTTTAACTCAGTCAACTAGATATGAATCTCAGGTAAACACAACAGTCAGCTTCAAACCTGGGACAACTAGGTAAAGCCGACACTTCAGCACTAAATCAATCCACTCCACGGACTGAGACCCGGGAAACAGAGCCAATGGGCACACAGACATGCCAAAAGGGACAGTATCCAGAGGCAAAAAAGAAGCCGGGGCAGATATCACAAACACACATCTAGCTTGTGTTTCATCAATGTAGTCTGCTGAAAAGAAAAATAATTGGTCCAAAAGCTGTAATTGTGTTATGTTTAATATTCATGGTCTAGCTGGAGTACTGTTCCAAAGCTCCCCCTCCTAGCCCCTCTCTAATGAAAATCACTCCATAGGAGCCTGCTCTATTTCGCCAATTAAAACAAAAGACACCAGCACCATCCAAAGACTCCAACCGAGTCGCATCCATCTGATGGGCAGGAAAACGTGCTGGATCCGAGATGGAGGCACGCTCTGGGTGGGTCTATCGTCCGAGCTCTGAATAACTTATTCTGACCCTTACAGATGGAGTCAGCGGAGCATTTAGCTTGCCTGCTCCCGCTCCCTCTGACAGCAGGCCATACCATGAGCACACCGCAGCGGAACATTAACAGAGCAAGATGGAGGCTCAGAGACTCTTCTTCTCATTGGTTTGGCTTGGAAAGTCCCATCTGACAAGAAAGGTTCATTGTATTTGATAGGACAGTTGGTGGCCAACCTGAAGCCCATTCAGACTCTGGCTTGGTCAGTTTATTAAGGATCTGACCTTCAGCTATGTTTCTATCCAAAAAAGCATCCAGGAGAGAGGGAGAGATGAAGGAGTGAGGCATTCATTCAAATTGAGCCTTGCAAAATAAAAGATTCTCCCCACCCCAAATCCCCACTAAATACAGGACAGGAATGAAGGCATATTCAGTCTGGTTTCAGTGACAGTGAGTGGCTACAGCTATCTATTCTGGTACATAAAGAGATGTCTAAAACCCTCTTTCAAGTAGCATTTTTGATCCCTCGTTAATGATTCCATTTAAATAAGATAACTAAAAAAAGACAACACATTTTAAAGAAACACTGACCCATTTAATTCAAGTAAGTTAAGACCAGAACATTTTTTCATCTTTTTAAACCTCACACTCAAATAAACCTTCAGCGAATGCTTACTATTACTAGTGACTTCAATTCAATAAAGTGATTAAGAAAGCACCTACTATGTTGAAGACTCAGTGTTAGGTGCTGGACAACAATTTCACATATACTAGTGTCTGACTAGTATAGATGACCTAAAAAGGAAAAACTAAAAACATATTTCAATGAGCTAGACAGTTATTACTAAAATTCAACAAGGCATGCTTTCACTTGAGTCCATTTTAATGGTATACTTATTAACGCTATATATGCTGGACTTTTCACAGGTCCCACTAACACAGAGACCTATGACTTTAAAGAATCCAATACGTCAACATTAATTTCCTAAGAAATGCCCTTCAATTCAATGCCCCTGACCCTAAGTTTACTGAGAAATAAGATAATTCAAAGAGAAATGATTGTCACGGAGAGAATGTCAGCTCTCCCGAGGTTCCCTTGGCAACCTGCTGCTGTCCCCGAGGTGGGCCCCATCACTGTCTCCTACTTTTGCTGTGGGCCCTCGCTGCAGCGCTGACTTCATCTGAGAGATTACCACCATGAAGACTGTTGTAGAAACAGAGGCAGGGCTGGGGGACCTCAGAGGCCCATAGCTGTTCTCCAGGCACACCTGACTTAAACTATTCCCCCTGAAAAAAGGGGCTTACTTCCTCTACCTCCTAAGTGCCTCAGAAATGGCATAATTCTGAGGTCCTTCCTAATCTACAGCCTCACTGAACTCACTCTTGTCCCCGTTTACATCCATTCTCTCTTGCCCTAATCTCAGTGGGAAAAGGCACAGATACTGTTAAAACAAAAGAGCCCAGACTGCATCTGATTTAATGGAGCCACACAGAATCCCCATCGGGTCCCTCGGCCCAGCTCCGGGCTCTGCTCTCGGCCACTGAGCTGCAACAGCCAACGAGGACAGAGCTGGCAAAGCTCCACCCAAGGTTTTCCCTGATGATTCCTCTGCCATCAGACCTCATCTACACACAGGGTTACCCCCTTCTTTCCTAGAGATTAATTTCATCATTAATGAGGAGTTTCAAAAAGCAGCATGATGTAGTGGGAAAAGGATACTGGATTTGGACTTGGGAGTAAAGAAGTCTTGGGGTTCTAAACTGCTAACTGGCAAGTCATTTAACCTCAGAGCCTCAGTTTTCTCACCTGTCAAATGGGAAGAAGAATCCTCACACTACCACCTCATAGAGTTCTTACGAGGAACTGACAAACTGTAGAGCATCACGGGAAATGTGAGCTCTTAAACAAAACTTAAGACCTAAGAGGCAGCATGGGACAGAATCCTGCCATGGGGTCTGGATCCCACACCTCAGACCCTCACTGGCATGTGATGGGCAAGTGACTTTACCTCTAAGAACCTCAGTCTCCTCATCTGAGGAATGGAGAGAAAAATTCTCAACAAGTGGATGGGGAAGGACAGTGCTTTAAAAACCTAGAGGGATTTTTTGTTTTAATTATCAAGCCTAACATTCCCAGAAATGGTCGACCCCTAATTTTAATTAATGTTGAAAATTACTCAAAACTGAATCATTTTTTAAAAGAAAATATTTTTTCTACACTTGGGCTTAATTTAGATGTCAAAATATCTGGACAGTTTTATGGACTTTTACTCTAATGCTATTTATGAAGCACAAGCTCCAATGGGGGCTTGTTTTATTTTTCACATTAGAAAGGTAATTTCAGATTTTTTAAATGACACCCCGGGAAGTCCTTCCTATTCCTATTAGGGCACCAAACGTTGCCCTTTTTTTTTTTTAAAATAAAACATTAAACTCCTTGAGAACAGGGCTGGCTTTTTTGGTGTTACATGTGTATCCCCAGCATCTGGAACAAATACACTTGATAGGTGGGGGTGGAACTGAATTGCACTGGGATCGAATGGGATAATATATATAGAGAGAGAACTTTGCAAACCTTCAAGTGCTACAAATGTGTGTGTATATACATATACGTATATGTGTGTGTGTGTGTGTGTGTGTGTGTGTGTGTGTGTACACATATATGTATATGGGTGTGCGTGCAGTGGGATATGTATATATCAGCTGTAATGAGGTGGCTGAGTGGTGCAGTGGATACAGCACTGGGCTTGGAGTCAGGAAGAACCAAATTCAAATCCAGCCTCAGACACTTCCTAGCTATGAGACCCTGGGCAAGTCACTTACCTATGTCTGCCTCAGTTTCCTCAACTTCAGAAGGGGGATCTCAATAGCATCTACCTCCCAGAGTAAAGTGCTTAGCATGGTGCCCAGTGCATGGTAAATGTTACTTCAATGTCATTACTGTCATTATTCTACGCTCACTACTGCATGTACTTTGCAAACATGATCTTCATCACCTTCACTGAGCTGTTTCTTTTCCAGAATACATTCACAATTTCTTTCCTGGCCCTGTGATGTCAAGATGACTCAGTCCTCACCAATTCCCTCCCCTTCCTATATATACTATTGTGGCTGTTGAAAAGCTCCCCCCTCCAGCCATGTTTCATATCACACTTTAATAAAAGTCACTACTTTGATCCCAGCACGTATGTTCCCAACCCACATCTCATCAATGATGCCCCCGCATCACTGCTCTGGGAACCCCTTGGGGATCAGATGCTGCTTTCTCTTGGGCCCCACAAAAACAATCACAACTCCGCTATTCTCACCTGTGGAGAGAGATTTTAAAACCCTGTATGTCAGGTGTATCACCTCCTATTAAAATGGACTTACCGTGACAGATAATTAGGTCAGATTTTTAGACTCCAGAGTGACAAGAGTGCCCTTTTACACATGACATTTGGCTCCTGCTTAGGGGATGGAGCACCTAATTAGGGATCCCTGCTCTAGGGGGAAAAGTCTGCTCTACTGAGTATCTATAGTTGACAATCCAATGTGCAGCTGCTAATGGTATTACAACTTGGCTCAAAACTCTTCCTCTGGTTCCTAATTGGGCCTGTGTATGCAGAGAGCAGGGGTCTCTTCTCTGCTCCACTGTTCTGGTTCCCTGTGAATCTAGCTGTGACTGAACACCCAAATGCTCATGTTGTAAACAAACTCTGCACGAATAAATCTATAATCCCAAAGCTTTTCATTTGGACATCGCAAGTAGCCTTCTGCATTTACTCTCCCAGAAAACGAGGCGCTGCCAAGGCCCCGTGGGAAGAAGGGTATCAGATAAGCTTGTGTTCTTTGTAGGCCTTGCACAAATCAACACGTAGCTCGCTTTGGTAACACTAATACACGAGATTAAAACTATAAATTGATTTGTTTGTTTTTGTTCAGCCACATGGGGAGGCCACTCATCAAACCTGGCTTTGTAAGAGAAAAATAGCCTGGCCTGTCTGCTAGATGATCACGTTACACCTATCAAAACATCAGCTGTCTTCAGACGACTAAGAAAAATGATGGAGTATTCTCTTTACCAACAAAGTATGCAGTGTGCTTGCATTATCTTTGCCCTGAAAAATGGGGAGGGTTTGGCGAGGGGGGTGCCGAAACATTGTTTGATAAAATAATTATTTTTGCAAGCTGCTGCACTGGCGGGACAGAGGTCTGGGAATTGGCAAGAGGAAGCATCCGCCTCACAATCTGATCCCCACCACCGAACCAGACCACCACCTGCAGCCTGGTGCCGAGCACTGGGAGAAGGCGGGGTGCCATTAGACACTGGCCCGTCGCCATTCCGCATCTCTTTGGGGCACTGGATCAGACACTGCAGATAACTGGCCAAAAAAACAAAACCGGGGGAAAAAAGAAAACCCAAAAATTGGACTCAGAGGGTCTTTTCAAAACTTTAATCCTTTCGTGCTGACGGTTCCCGGTGTGCCCATCGCTGGCAAAGCACACTGCACAGGGAAAGCCTGACTCCCTAAGCCAACGAGCTAAAGGGAAGGCCGCTAATCAGCTAAATAGAGCCTGGAACTTGTTCACAAAAAGTCTGTCTTTCTCTCTCTCTCTCTCTTTTTTTTTTGGTCACTGGAGGGACACCATAGTGTTCTGAAATACACTCCTGACATCATTTGGCAAACAAACTCATTTCACTGAACATGATTCATCCCTCAGGTTATTGTTTTTAATATCAGAAAGTGAGCTCTTAAATGCCAGACAAATTTTGCAGCAGGGGGAAAAAATATTCCAAGTGGTCTCTCTGGACCCTCCACCAACTGTGTCCACCAAATGGCTTAAAAGAAAATCTTCCCATGATGCTCTCAGAAAGAAAGCAGAGAGGCAGAGATATCCAACGATTACCTAATACCAGGCTCTCCAAGCTCATGGAGACAGTGTATGCAGGAGGAGGGGAAGGAGGGGGAGGAAGAGGAGAGAGGAGGAGGAGGAGGAGGAGGAAGATGAGAAAAAGGAGAAGGAGAAGGGGGGAGGGGAAGAGGAAGAGGAGGAGAAGGAGGGGGAGGAAGAAGGAGAGGAGGAGGGAAGAGGCAGGAGGAAGAGGAAGGAGGAGGAGAAGGAGGAGGGGGAGGAGAACATGAACCAGAATCCGGGGTGGGAGCCCATTCATTTCTGGAGAGCGCTGCTGTTAGTTCCAACATACCTCCTGTCCTTATTTCCTGCGACCAGAAGGTGTGGGGGGCTGTTCCGGAGGTTGACACATGTGAAGTCCCCCAGGGAGCTGCCCAGTGTGGTCAGGCACTGACTCGTCTGCAGGCTGTACAGCAGTATCTGTCAGGAAAAAAGAACAGCCCCTGCACACGTGGACCCAACATACCAGGGACCAGGCCTGGACCAAGTGGCTTTTGCTTCGGGATAAACCAGGGCAAGATGAGAGGCCCTCGGACTGGACCGAAGATGTTTTACCCGTCACAATTTCCCAACCATCCCTGGGATGACGATGTTATGGGGACTCTGCAAACTGGAGGACAGGTATTCTGCTGGCTAAGGAACACGTCAAAAGGAGGAGAAAGCCGCCATTGTGCTCATTCCCTGAATCTTGGGAAGGTTGTGCAGAAACTTGTAACTGCAAAAGTCGCCAGCTATCTCTGAAATGGCCCCAAGGGGAGAAATGCATAAAGGCTTACAGGGAGTGGAAGCTGAGTGCCGCCCAGACACCCCAAAAAGAAGGATTCTAAGAATAAAGGCAGGAGAAGCAGCGGCACTGGGGTTACCTTCAGGACAAAGAGGGATGAGATCAGAGGATGGAGAGCATCTGGACTTGTGGTCTGAGGCTCCAAGTCATAAGCCTGGCTCAGTCACTCAGTGAATCTCTCTGGGCCTGTCTCCTCATCTATAAAATGAAGGGATTGGCCTTGATGGTCTCTAAGGTTTGTTACTGCTCTAAAATCTGTGAGCCTATGACCTGGTCCATTGCCCTAATTTTACACCTGAGGAAACTGAGGCCCAGACATGCAACGTGCCCAAAGTCATGCAGGTAGATGAAGGGCACGGGAAGGGAATAAACGTTTACATAGCACCTACTGTGTGCCAGGTACTGTGCTGAGCACTTCACCAATACTGTCTCATTTGGTCCCCACAACAAGCCTAGGAAGCAGGTGCTTCCCCATTTTGCAGACACTGAGGCACAGAGAGGTTAAGTATCTTGCCCAGGGTCACACAGTAAGTGTCTGAGGCCAGATTTGCTAGCTGCCAAACAATTCCTTCCTTCCTTCAACAAACATTTACTGAGTTCTTACTATGTCCAAGAAATAGTACTAAATGAGATTAAACATACAAAAAGGGTCGCTGGGTCTCCAGGGCTTGACAGTCTTGTAAAGGGGTGGAGGATGGGTAAGGTGTATATCAATAACTGTAATTCAAGATAAAAAAATGAAGATATAGTAAGAGAGGCTCAAAGTGCTGCAGAAGTCCAAAGAGAGGGTTTGGGGTCTCTGGGAGGGCTTAGGAAAGACAGAGCACTTGATCTGTGTCTTCAGTGACGCATGGTAATAAGACAAGCAGATCTGAGGAGAGACAGTTTAAAACGCCCAGAGGTAGGAAAGCAAAAGGTATGTTCAGAAAATGTAAATATTTAAGAAAGATCTGAATTATATTAAGCAACACGGTAGGAAAAATGGATCTCACCATTTCTTTTTAAAAATTATTTTCCAAATAATTCACCATACTGGCTACTGAAATTGCTCTTATAAATAGTGAATTGCTTAAAATAAAATCTTCCAGTAGTACTTTTAAAAATGAAGAAGCAGCCACAGCAGCTGTTAAATATTACATTGTCTAAATTTATGCAAAGGAAGCTAGGTGGTGTACTGGATAAAGCATTGGGCCTGGAGTCAAGAGGGCCTCAGTTCAAAACTGGCCACAGACACTTATTAGCCATGTGAACCTAGGCAAGTCACTTACCCTGTTTGCCTCAGTTTCCTCATCTGTAAAATGGACTGAGGAAGGAAATGGCAAACCATTCCAGTGTCTTTGCCAAGAAGACCCCAAATGGGGGCACAAAGAGTGACCTGACTGAACAATGACAAAATTTACGTAGGCAGTGTTCATAGCATCAGGACTGAGCTCTGGGATGTGGCCACTGGATTATGACAACCCTCCACCCCTACCCCAGGGAGAAGCTCCATGTTCAAGTTACACCGGGAGAAACTAAAAGATTGTTTTAAAAACATTACCCCCATGGACACTGTCCCATCCTCCCCCCTCTATCGGCTTCCACCCATTGTTTAGGAAGCATTGATCTCATTAGATATCCACAGAGTAAGAAGAAGACAGCTTATCAACTCATCTCCACATACATACATACATACATACATACATACATACATACATACCTCGGATCTTACTCCCACGTTACTGTTTATGTTGGACTCTTCATGACCCCATTCAGGGTTTTCTTGGCAAAGGTATTACAATGGTGTGCCATTTCCTTCCCCAGCTCATTTCATAGATGAAGAAACCGAGGCAAACAGGGTGAAGGGATTTGCCCAGGGTCACCCAGCTAGTCAGTGTCTGAGTCCAGATTTGAACTCAGCTCTTCCTGACTCCAGAGCTGGCATTCTATTCAATGCACCACCTAGCTGCCCCTCCTGGAGCCTTTGTTTCCTCATTTGCAAAATGAGGGGGAGGACAAGATGGCCTCTTAAGCCCTTGCAGCTTAATGATCCAAAACCATAGTAAAGCCAGATGCAAGAAATGATGCTAAACTATTTTGAGCATTAATTAGCTTGTGAATTCTGGTTTCCAGTGGATCTGCACATCTCTTCTATCAACTGACAACAGATCTGAACAGGATGGAATCATTTACCTTTCTCTATTAAAAAGAACTAGGAAACCAAGTTAGAGGGCATGACCTTGCAGTAGGACTTGGATTTCAACTCCTGGATTTATTTACCAGAGGCTTTAGGGTACTGTATACCTTAAACGTTCTGTATGTTACAGAAACAAACACACTGAGCAGCACTGTCCCTGCCTTGAGAACTATTTGTCTCACAGATATCTATAGAAACAATTAATATCTCAAATCTTGATATAGTATTAGAACTACTGCTGCTGAGAATTTCTGAAAGTAACGGCAAGTTTATTATGATTCAAGATTAAAGAAAAAGATCTAGGAAACAGCTGAAAATAAAAAATTTATGTGCATCAGTGAGATGAATTCCAGTAATTTTTCTCTCAGATCAATAAGAAGACAATCTAATAATGAAACAACTATCATTGACAATTAATAACCCAAGAGGACATAATTAGGGAATTCATTCAAAGGCTCTGGAGGGGAAAAAAAGGAGCACTGGTTTTGGTTACTATGCTCATAACAAGTCATTCTGTATTTATTTTCACTTTGCATCACCTACATTTATTACATACTTCTTCAAAGTCCTTTTACAAAGAATAAAGTATACATTTGTAAAAGAGAGATAAGCACATTGAATGAATGAGTGCCCAAGGCATAAAAAGGCCATGGTGGATCTTGAATTGATATCCCATATGTTGATAGACAAGCCCCCTCATCTTTTCTCCCAGGTCTTTTAAGGGGGAGATGGATTATTCTTAACTGACAGAGTGTGACCTAAACTCTTCCCCAAAAAGATTTTCTCTTTTTTCATTGTCAAGACTTCTAAGTTAGTAGTTAAGAGTCAAGTGTCATCTGGAATGTTTAATAATTCAATGAATTAGAAATATCCAGAGTACCTTTACCATTACGTTTAGTTAAAGACCATAGAGATTAGAAAACACATTATCCATCTCAGAGGCGATTCGTTCCATGTTACAAGTCCCTTAACGACCTTTACTATTTCTCCCTCCCTCCCTCTCTCCCTTTCTCTCTCTCTCCCTCTCTCTCTTTTAATAAGGCTGAGCAAATGGGACTTCATTTTATCTGATTGCCAGACTAGTGAAATTAATTATTCATGCTCACACTCTCCCTTTTGTTAAGACCATGCATTAGACTAATTCTTCTCTTTATTGCACTAGTCGGGTGAGTCTAAAACTTGTGGCCACTCTCCTCAGACAGATGTACTGAGAAAGAGATGGGTAGATACGTTAGAAAGGAGGAAAAGCCCACCCAGAGCTAAAGTCTTGGGGAAAACGTTGTGCACTAATGTGACCACCAAATCAATAGACGTCAGGGAGTTTTTTAAAAGTACAAATTGCATCATAAGGAATATGAAAAAAGTGGACACAAGGCACATTTCTACAGAAATTATGAAGTTTCACTAAGACTCATAGGTAAGCCTTGAAACTGTTGCCGAGTATAGGAAAGCAAACTGTAGAAAACAGACAACATTACGGCTTTCTTTTCCCCTTCAGAGTCTTAAAATTCTACATCGAGACAGAAACGGAGGGCAGTGGTGTTGAAGGAGACACGAACCTTTTCAGAAAGGTTTTCAAGTATTAGTTAGTTACATTCCCATCTTAGTCTCTTAACTTATAGCCATGGCAGTTTTAGATTGTCCTCCATCCTTCGTGTAGTTTTTCACATCCCCAGTACAGACACAATTTTGGAAGTAGAATGATCCACTGTACAATAAAACCATATTTCAATTGCTACATACTTTAATGAGGCAATTCCAGCACTGCCCCCTAATTCAGAAATTGGATTGGGTCTTTACACAGATATAAATCCAGATGGGAAAGAATTTCCTGTGGTCTCTTCTCACTGCTACCACTAGTCTTGTGATCCTCATCACCTCTCTGCCTGCATGTGCCCCTGGAGGACCCAGAGACGAGGTACAGAGATGGCGGGCACGGTGTCAGCAGCTGCCAACAACTAAAAGCCGCCTCTCTCCTTGTATATTTGGCCAAGGCCACCTGCTGTCACTCCTCTGGGTGACTGCCTAGACATATAACCTTGCTTCTCCACTGCCCATGCCACAGCTGCTGGTACATTAGGCTGCAAGGAGAAGGGATTCAGAACCAGGAAGGAGGCAGCATGGCCAAAGCCCCAGTCAGAGGGGGAAAACAAAGTGCCCTGTTGGAGGCATGCCCAACACCTTCTGGGAATGGTCTGAACTATCTAGTGTGCCCCAACACTGGCTTCTATCGACGGCCACCCCGAAGGAAACTGTGAGGACTCCACAGAGAGTGGCTGCAGATATGACATGAGATCTAAGTCAATGAACTACTTCCTCCATCCCTTCAGAACTGCAATCTACAATGTAAACTTGATAAATCTACAAATGGGACTTCCCTGAAAAGATGAGGGTTTGGGCCCTCCAATATACCACCAGAGAAAGATGGAAAAGATCTGCAAAGACTTTTTAAAAAGACAC